TATTCTTAACCTGGAACATAGTGTATCCTCTGTTGACATTTCACCAAGAAACTGAAATTTACGTCTGCCGTACCCCGCGTAAAGGCCAGTTGGACCCAGCGTTGTAGTTGAATCCCGCAGCTGCTCCGCCATTGTCCGTCGAAAAAATCAGGATTGTGTTGTTAAGCATGTTCTTTTGCGCCAAGGCCTCTACAACCCTTCCAACTGATTCGTCCAATTTTGCAACCATGGCTGCATTGTGATACAAAAGAATCTCGTCACAACAAATACTGTACAATATATTTTTCATTATAACAATTTAACAAACTGTTTCACAAGTCTTGTCAGAAAGTCCTTAGAGTTCATCTTGGAAGAATCTTGTTACAAAAAACTTCCCAGTTCCAGTGTGAAAAATTTTTTTTAGGAATGTTTGACAATAGATTCTCCAGATGCAGAATCTGAAAATTCTGATCTTAAATGTGACTGAATGGTTCTTTTAGCATGGATGGAAGCTGTTATTGATGACAAACATGTTTAAAAGTGGTTTCACACTCATCCTCCCAGAATGAATAGATTGGTGCAACAGATGAAAGAATGATTGAAGCTAATTTTTTTAAATGGAAGATTACTAAATTTTCAAGCAATGAAACAGAATCTGAGAATATGCCAGAAAATCAAGATCTACCGTAATCTATCATAGACAGGACTTGGTGCAAAAGAACTTCTGGTAATTAATTCTGAAAATATTGTAACAAATTATTCAGCATAACAAAATTTTTCTGAAGTGCCCTAAAGGTTGCTGTAACGATCAATTTTATTGTACGTGTTCAAAGTCCTAAATTTTGATGAATTTGTTGGATTTACCAGCATATGTTCGACGTTTTTCATCCTTTATGTGAGAAAATTGGTCCACTACTTCTTTGGGAGCTTGCAGGGGTTGCTCCTTGTTAGCTGAATGAACAGCCAAGTGCGACAAGTACAAGAACAACGGGGATTCGTCCACCTTGTGATGGTGAATGATCAAAGTAGCTGCTTCTGTCAGGAGATCAGTGGTATAACGACCGGTTGTGTTGTGAGCTGGTTCCATGTTCAGCCGCATGTCAAGACCAGTCATAAAAAAATTGTTTGACTGCAATGTAAACGTGCATGATTAAAGGTATATGGGTGTATGAATCAATTTTGTACTGAAGAATATGTTATTCAAGATACTCCCATCATCTCAGTTGTGATTTTGTGAAGCACAGTACTGTATAAATTGGTCAGATGAATTTTTGCCATTCAGGTTTCATTCAGTTCAGATGATGTCAACATCATCTAAATCCTATTTTCGCGAGGAAGTAAATGATGAGCAGTGTGAAATGAGATTTTTGGGACTCACGATGTATTTTTCAGAGAAATGTGACCAGTAGTCGTGCTTCCCGGACCAGTAGCCGAAGTGGGTCTGGAATCCGCGGTACGTGGGCGTGTATTCTTTCTGAAAAAACCCCAGGTGCCATTTGCCCACGATGTGACGTGTGTAGCCCAGAGGAGCTAAGTACTCCGGAAGCAGTATTTCATCAAGTCCTAGTCCCCAGGGCTCAGTTTCTAGGATGACGGAGTGCTCCATTCCTGAAGTAATTTTTGAGATATGAACAAACATTGTGTCGAAAATCCTGATTTAGTTGCAGTAAGGCAAAGCAGGGTTAACAAGGAAAACACAGACTAGTTTTTAATGCAGGCGGATTCTCTGCTGCAAAATTTGAGGGACCAGGAAAGAATTGTTGTTGGAAGAATTGTGTTGTAGAAAACCCTGCAGCATTTGGAGAGAACCCCATTGGACCAAAACAAAAAACAATGCAGTTTACAGAGAAATTTGTTCTCAACAAGATCATTGTAGGGAGTCCATCTCTATCTCCAAAATGGCAATTCAAAACTAATTTAATTTTGTGCTCAGTTTCTAAAGATATTATACCATCACGTGACTGTTGAATGCATCTTAATTAAACCAACATGTCCATTGCCAAGAAAACAATTACAGTAATACTGTACGGGTATACTTTTTAATCTTTGCATTTTGATTCTCTCATTTTTTGAATCCCATGGTTCTAAATTCAGAAGTATTTCTGATCAAGCTTCAATGTTTCAAAAATTTCAAAATGTTGTATAATATAGACCAGTATTCCCCAACCCATGGTCCAGAGACTGGTGCTGGTCTGGAGAAGTTGTTTGCTGGTCCGCAGGACATTTTCTGCAGCATAATAAATTTATCAAAAGTAGCAATGCAGCCTGTTATTTTTGTCTGAAATTTTGGAGAGACAATATATTGCTGTTGAAAATATCTGATGAGAAAATAAAA